ACTTAAAAAAAAAAAAGATTCTCTTTCTTTCTCTCCCTCTGACCCTCTCCCCCACTCGTGTGCACACACTCTCTCTCTCAAACAAAAAAAAAAGAGTACCAAACACTTTCAAGAGCTTAAGCAACATTAGCTATTATTTATCCATTCTTCTACTGTTGGGCACTGAGGTCATTGCCAGTGCTTCATTTAATAAATGGTGTACCAATCAGCAGCTTTCAGCAAACAGGAAAGAATAGCAGACTGGGATGGTTCAAGCCATGGAATGGGAAGGAGACTGAATCTTGCCCTTCTTTTTATTCCCAACATCTGAATTCCCATTGAGTTTGTGGCAAGACTCAACAGTGAAATGTCTATTTCTGTTATTCCAACAGATAGTACCACTCTTGGCAGCATTGGGGGACAATGGGGAGAGGTGACCTTGCCCCAGCGCTTTGTGCTAAGTTGTATTAAAGAATTTATTAAAGAAGTCATCCAAAAGCTTCAAGGAGGAGAAAAAGGATCCAGAGGAAGCCCTCTGGATGTTCTTTCCAAAGCATAACCAACAGGGACAGTCTGATGGCCCTCAGAAAGCCACAAAACTTACTGAAAATGTGGCACACAGTTATAAAACAGAACCATAAAAGCAGCTCTTTTCAAATTTCTAATGTAAGCTCCCTTGGAAAAGTAACAGCATTTGGTGTGCAGGCCCAACCTAAACCTGGATTCCATTATCACGCACAAACTTGGCCACTAGGTCAGGGTGCAGAGCCCAGGGAGCCCTGTGCCTTACCGCATACAAACTGGTGGAGAAAACCCGTGCCGCCTCCACACACCTGAAGTACTTGCCACTCAACGGCTCCAGGCCCTCAGCCAGGGCACAGTGCAGGCTGGTCTGCGCCCCCTCCCGTGCCGACTTGACGAAGGGGGAGAAGATCCGCCAGAGCAGACACAGCAGAAAGGAGTGCCGGATCAGCTCAGAGCTGACCACGCCTGGGTGCACAGCGTAGGTTGTGACCCCTGTGCCTGGGGCAAAGAAAGCACAGTTAGCCCAGGGACACATCAGAGCCCAAAGAAACAGCTCATCTCCTGTGGAAAAAAATGCACAAATGAGAAGGGACTCAGAGAACAAAACCCCGGGTTCAGAAGGTACCTCTCCCAGCCAAGTAGAATCTATCTCTTCCAGAAACATCTATAGCCTTCTCAGCCTTCTATGTTCCACAAGAAGTTCTTGATTGCAGATTCTTCCGTTTGAATGCCACTTTTACTCTGTGGCTTAAGTATTAATAGTAGAAACAACCACATGTAGTAGTAGGAAGAGTAGTAGGAGTAGTAGTATCAATTATGGATAGTAGTATCTTTGAAATTTCTATAGAAGGAGCTTAGGGGAAGCGACTTGTTGGGAGGTAGGAGGCTGGAAACTTGTTATGAGCTGTAATTGTTGAGCAAGCACATTTTATGGGGGGGGGGGTACTTTGAGGGGTATTGATAGAGATAATGGAGGTTAACATGGTCCCAAGAAACCACTGGTACCTCTACTATCTTTAGTACTTATTATGTGCAAAGGCTATGCTGCCTGCTTTACATGTATTATTTCATGTAATTCTCCATGAGTCTTGTAAGGTGCCCATTTACAGTTGACGTAACTGACCTCTTGTCACAAAGAAGTTGAGTAAATTGCCCACGGTCATACCTAATAGGCTGCAGGGCCAAGGTCTGAACTCTGAGGAAGAATAAAGAGCATAGACTCTAGAGCTAGACTATCTGCATTTGAATCCTGGCTCAGCTAGGAAACTTTCTTGGTCAAGTTTCTTAATATATCTATAGTGAGATATATCTATCTCTTCATTTGTGGAGTGGGGGAAAATAATAACACCTACTTCATAGGTATGTTGTATTAAATGAGTTTAGACATGTATAATATATGGCACACACAAAACTCTCAATTATTATTGTCATTATTATTATTTCTTCTAATAATTACCCTATTCTTCTACCTTCTGTATTCTGATAGTAAATACCATTGTTCCCAAACTCTGGCTTATTCCCTGTGGCAAATGGTCCCCCAGGTTTGCAGATGTCAAAGCCAGCAACTCAGCAAAAACTTCAGGGGAGCACAGAATCATAGGATTAAGTGAAGCCTCACCTCATTTTACAGCTGAGGGAATGAAGTCAGGGGAAATTAAAGGGACATGCACATATACACAGGTGGATCATATGTGGTACACCAAGAGCTCAGACCCAGGGGGCCAAAATCCAATTTGGTCTCTCTGACTCTAGGTAGAGGCAGCCCTGTAGCTTAGCTCACCATGTGAACCTCAAGGCAAATAGCACACACAGAAGGAAGCACCCTGGATTTAAAGCAGAGTACCCATATTCCAGTCCTGACTCCTCCACTTGCCATGTAACCTTGGGCTAGCCACTTCTTGAAACCTCAGCTTGAATCCATAAAATAGTAATAAGAGTACCTGCCCTGCCTATTATAAGAGGTTGCTGTGAAAAGTCAAATAAGATGGTAAATAGGAGAAAAGATGTGACATAAATGAAAGGTAACTTTATAGATTCCTAACCCCTGTTCAATTTTAAGTTTCCCAGGAACAAGAATTATTTTTAGTCTGTTTATGACCTTGTTCTCCTTAGTGTGTAAAGCTATCATTGAAATGCTCATGTTTGATATCTTGACTTCACAAGTTTCTGTGAACCTCTAATCTAAACAGAACCTCTAATCTAAACGGAAGACCATTTGCTATCTTAACCCTGGCCCTTTCTCCAGACTTACCTTGGAGCCTCCTGGCCAGCTCACGAGTAAAAAGCACATTAGCCAGCTTGCTGTGGCAATAAGCGAAACCTCGGCTATAGCGCTTCTCACCCTGGAGGTCATGGAAGCGAATCTTGCCAGCATGGTGGACTACCGATGACAGGTTCACCACCCGTGAAGGAGTGGACTCTTTCAGCCGCTCCAGGAGCAAGTGGGTAAGAAGAAAGTGGCCTGTAAGGAGAGCCAGCAGGGGAGATTGAAGAGTGGGGTGACAGCTCAGGCTTAGGGGTGGGAGCTGATGATAGGACTTCAGCATTAACTCCCTATCTTCTGGGCATGAACAAATTTAGATGCTGTGATAACTCAGTGCAAATCATCAGTCAGAGTGAGTGGATTCCTCAAGGCAAGGGCCAGAGCTAGACTATAGGCAAGGCAATATAGACTTGATCTGTATTTATTTGTCCCTCTGCCCTGTCCCAGTCAGGAGAAATGCCTCCTGATGGCTTCCAACCACCCTCTGGCCATGATCACACAACTGAGGGCCCAAATACATTTATGTACAGAAGGAAGGATGGAATAGTAAGGTTAAAGTAGTTTGCCTAGGACCAGAGAACATGTTCCATGAACTCCTCACTAGAGCCATGAACCCTGAACCCCAGCCTTATTCATACCTCAGACCCTCAAGATCTGTCTCCTCTGTAGCCTAGCCCTTGACTTGCTTGGTCCTTAGTTATAAATGTGACCCCCTCCAGCCAAACACAGATTCCTGCACCCTGCATGCCTGGTCCTGCATGGGAAGGCTTGCACTACCACGGCCCCATCCAAGAATGACATTCTTCTTCCTTGTGTCTCCAAGTTTTGGGGCTTCTTAATGGTATGAGTAGGAGGATCTCACTTTTTGTACTGGTCAGGAGAAGGATAGTAAACAAAACCCCCAACTCTATGAAGCTCACTAGAGATTCTCAGTACTGGTATAGGGTCATCTCCCTACAGAAAACAAGATGGGGTTTTCTTGCTTTCCAGTCACTCAAAAATACTTACCTAGGTGGTTGACTCCCAGGTGGGTTTCAAAGCCATCAGCTGTCTTAGAATATGGACACATCATCACCCCTGCATTGTTGATCAGAATATGGAGCTGCTTTTCCTCTATAAAGTATAACCAAGGAGACCCTGAAGTTAGCAAGGAGCCCACTAGCTGCCTGTTGTAATCCTGAGTATTTGCTTCTTTCCCTTCAACCTATCTCAGTGATATTCAATAACCACGGTCACTGGATTTCTAAATTTAGTTATTGATATCTGCCTGGACATTCATTCATTCATTCATTTAGCAAATGTGTACTAAGTACTAACTCTGGGCCAGGCTCACTCAGCTATGCGCTGGACACCCAGTCATAAAACAAGACAGACATAGTCCCTGTCTTGCATGGATTTCATAGTCCTTGGTAAAAGCTAGTCATTTTCCAAGAGACAGAAAAATGTTGGCAGCAGCACAACTTCATTTAGTGCCTGTGGCACAGAAGGTTGATTCTCAGGATGAGAAAAGAGAGTGGCATCAGGGCCACACCTTGATGCCAAGGTGCAAGCCCAGACAGAGAGCCCAGCATCCCCATTGCTGAGGAAAAAGATGATAAGGACCCTGCCCAGCTTGTCCACCACCAATTCCTTGCCCTGCTGGTTCATGTGGCAGAACCTGTCCAGTGAGATCCATGGTGGTTCTGATGTAAAGGTCACAGATGATACAGGGTGGAGCAATCAGTCCCACACCCAGTTTCCTGCTTTTCTGTCTACTCACAGGGGACTTACCTGCTAGAAAGCCCTCAGCAAAGGCTCGGATGGATTTGGTATCAGATAGGTCCAGTTTCCGCACCAGCACCTGGGAGTTCTTTGTATCAGCTCGGATTTCACTGGCTGCAGACTCTCCCTTCAGTACATCTCTGCAGGCAATATATACTCTGGCTCCTGGGGCCAAAACAAAGACAGGGCAACATGTTCAAACCCTAGGCTGAAAAAGAGGACGTGGGCTTGAGACCGGTGGACAGAACATTCTCCTAGCCATCCCTAAACAGTGAGTGGCTATATTGCCATCTCAGGGTTCTCACAAGTGAACTATTCAGACCCTTTGCTGTCAGCTTAACCCTAGGCTGGGAACCCTGGCTTTTACACTCTGGTATTTAATGTGGCTTGGTATCTACCTTTAGAATAGCTGATTTGAGCAATATTTACATGGACATCATTATTTCCCTTATACAATAGGGAAGGAGAAGGGAAGAAGGTTTGTTTAAGGGTACAGAGTAAGTTGGTGCCAGAGCTGGACTTGAATCCCAGGTTCCTTGAATTTCTGACCAGAACCTCCAAGCCCAGGAGGAAAGACAAGGAAATGTGGACAGAATCCCCAGTGATAAAGGCAGGAGGCACTGTCCTATGAACACAGAAGGGGAAGGACTTGCCTCTGCGAGCGAGTTCTCTGGCCGTCTCCTTGCCAATGCCTGTGTTGGCGCCAGTGATCACCACTACCTTCCCAGGAAGTTGCACGTTTGATCTACAAACCCCACCAGCAAAGAACTTCCTATAGGCAAGGGAAACAAAAGGAAACCAAAAGCATTCATGCATTATCCTTCCCAATTCCAGACTGAGATCAACATAAAATCCATCCATCCTCAAAGAGAAATTTCTTTAAGTTGTCAGGAGACCCAAAAAAGTGAATCTTCAGGGGACACTCTTTTCCCACTAGGTATCCTGCTCATTGGCTCAGGTTGTAAGATCATGTGCCCAGAAACTACAAATGATCATTTGGACAAAGTGAATAAGTGCTCTTGAGCCAGGGCCAATGGAGACCTTCCTTGTTAGATAACACAGATACCTAGCTTTTATCTCTAGAGGTTCCCAGAGGTCAGCTTCCTCCTCTAACCTGCATTCAAAACATATGCATGATGAGCATTAGTAGAATCAATGGTCCTGAGCCCTAGGTCTTCAATAAGCATCAACAGTGAGTAATTGATTAACAGCACTTCAAGAGTTCCCATATACATATATGGCTCTTGGGCTGCTTTCCAGTTTTAGAGAGCTGACATCTTCAGAGGCTTTCTGCCATCCTACTAGAAATTCCATTCTAGCCATCAACACACAGACAGAAACCTCTTTTGTTCAGACATCTGTACAGAGAGCATCCTTTCACATAAAGTTGACTTGACAAGTTCTGAAAAAGAGGGTGGGAAAAGGGGAGAAGTAACATTTCCTAAGCATCATCTGACTGGCACTAGGCACTAGGCTAGGCACTTTCCATAGAGAACTTATTTTAATCCTCTCATTCTGTTAGTATTCCCCTTTTACAGAGGAGAAGACGAGGGTCAAAGGAGTTCAAGTCATTTGCTAATGGTGGCAAAATTAGAACTTAAACCTTGTTTCTATGCCAGGACCTAGAGCAACACTCTGTTTCTGATGTGTTCATTTATCTTCTTTATTGTCGGCATTTTTTTTAATGTTTATTTATCTTTGAGAGAGAGACAGAGCACAAGTGGGGGAGGGGCAGAGAGAAAGAGAGAGATAGAGAGAGAGAGAGACAGAATCTGAAGCAGGCTCCAGGCTCTGAGCTGTCAACACAGAGCCCGACAAGGGGCTTGAACCGTGGATCATGAGCTGAGCCGAAGTCAGATGCTTAACCAGCTGAGCCACCCAGGTGCCCCTATTGTCAGCAATTTTTATTTATTTTTTATTTTTTTATTTTTATTTTTTTTTTCAACATTTATTTATTTTTGGGACAGAGAGAGACAGAGCATGAACGGGGGAGGGGCAGAGAGAGAGGGAGACACAGAATTGGAAACAGGCTCCAGGCTCTGAGCCATCAGCCCAGAGCCTGACGCGGGGCTCGAACTCACGGACCGCGAGATCGTGACCTGGCTGAAGTCGGACGCTTAACCGACTGCGCCACCCAGGCGCCCCTGTCAGCAATTTTTAAAATTTTCACTCAGAACACACATTTCTTTGACACCTCCAGAAATCCCACAGCAGAAAAGCCATCCCAAATCATTAGTCGAGGGTAGTCTCAAAGGTAAGAGAGTTTGTTTCCTTTGAAAAATTTCTGGTACTTAACAATGAATCTTTCAGCAATGACCTCCCATGGTAACCCAGCAGGGCAACCTTGAGTAGGAGCAGTGAAGAAAGGACATAGGGACCTTCAGAGAAACCCAAGGGAATAAAGTGATAGAGCAAGCACTCCTACCTTGATTGTCTGTCATAGAGTCAGCTATCCACTAGCATCAGAATTTAAACCAGCCCCTTCTCTCCCAGCCCCAGGTACTTCCTTCTCAGTTTCATAACTACCTCCTTCCTGCTTTCTCTGCCCTGACTTTATTTCCCTCAGCCTCCATCCCTTTCTCTTCTTTCAGCAGCTGAGAACTCATCTACTTACAAGCTCTGTGGCTCCCAATCCAGGACTTTGCAAAATATTCCATGAGTTACTGAATTAAAACAAACCTGATGGATGGAGCTATCACATACAGGAAAGAAAGGAAGGAGGTGAGCAGTCCCAAGACAACCAGCATCTTTTCAACTTCTTTAGTTGCTGCCGCTTTAGCAAAAGCACCTTAGACTCCAGGTCTGGCTCAAGCTCCTGGTCTAACTCCAACTCCTGTCTGCTTCACGCTGCCTCTCCTCCTCTAGTTCCTCTCACTCCTGGGCACTCAGCAGCAGCAAGGCTCTATCTGAGCTTAGCCCAGAATCCTATTTAAATCTGAGCTGTCAGAGCACAGCCTGCTGGGAGATGTAGTTCTCGGGGAAGAAGATGGAGGAAAGAGCAGTACTTCAAACTTACTGGCAAAGGGAATGGGGGAAAACTAGAGCAACTACCGGCTAACTCCCCACCCTCGGTTATTTCTCTTATTTAGGGAATGTGTTCTCCCAACCACGCCCACCTCTACTCCTGCAAGACAGAATATTTTTAACTTTAGCAACAGACCCCATGACACTTGGAATACAAGTGTGATTAAAATAGAAAAGAAGGGGGGGCGCCTGGGTGACTGAGTCAGATGAGCATCCAACTCTTGATTTCAACTCAGGTCATGATCCCAGGGTCATGGGGTCATGCTCTACATTGGGCTCTGAGCTGACAGTGCAGAGCCTGCTTGGGATTCTCTTTCTCCCCTTCTCTGCCCCTTCCCCACTCACTCTCTCTCTTTCAAAATAAATAAATAAATAAACGTTTTTTAAAAATAGAAAGAGAAGGTAGAACCCCCCCAGAAGAACAGTGAAAGAAGTCAGGAGAGTAGTCTCCTTTGGTGGGAAAGGGATAGAGACTGGGAGGGGGCATGTTGGGAACCTCTGTGGGGATAAGTGTTCTGTTTTTTGAGGTGGGTACTGGTTACAGAAGTGTGCTCATTTTGTGAAAATTCATTGAGTCAAATGCTTGATTTGTGCACTATTCTGTGTTTTATGTTATGTATCAATAAAGTTAACACATACGTGTACATGCCAAGGAAAGAGTTTCAGTGCATGGGCTCTAGAGTGGACTTCCTGGTTCAGATCCCAGCTGATCTCCTTACAAGCTCCATGGCCCTGGGTAAGTTATTCAGTTTCCTCACTGTGCAATGGGCATGGTAAAAAAAATAAATAAATAAAAATAAAATATATATATACCTATTTGTTTTAAGTATTAATTAAAGAGATAGAAATTTTGAGACAGAAACTTGCATATAGGAAACACTGTAAAAGAGTTGGCTGTTTTGATTAGCTGTATTGATTCCTGGCTCCTTTGCTATCCCACTTGCTTTACTCATGGGGTGAAGGGCAAAAAGGGAGAGGTTGTGAATGGGAGTAACATTTCAGTTGGATGCTATTAAAGATGAGGGAAAACACAAGACAAAAAGCTAGCAGATATTCTCAGAGCTCTCTGGAAATGTGTGAGAGGGTGGGAGGAGGGTTCACATCCCTTGCTCACTCAATATCCCTCTCCTGGATGGTACAACAGGCAAGGAGTCAGAACGATACCCAAGAGTCATATCCTGGTTCTGCTCCTTCCTTTGAAGCCAGAGGAGGCTCCAGGAGGATGCACGTGATGAAGAAGTATCCTGTGGCAGGCAGGTGTTCACTCCCTCATTCATTTATTTAACATATACTTACCTCTTGGTGTCAGGCATTGTGCCCAGTATCCTGAAGACACAGTTCCTGCTCCTTGGGAATCTCATGGGCCTGATGAACAGAACAGATCGTTCCAAGGAGGGATCTCTCTTGACTCCCATGTTGCCTCTCTCCTTTCCTTCCACGTCTCCTGCTCTGGCTCCAGTTCACTGCATCCACGTCAGCTGCAGAGCCCTCAAAGTCCAAGAAGCCCCTGAGGAGATCTGCCCACTGGCACTCTCCAGGGCCCCTCTCATAGAAGTTGATGCCCACTGAGCCAGCAGGTCCAACTGATTGGGCAGTCTTTTTGACACACCCAGGGACACTGGGTCTGCAACACCTCACAGATTTTATGTGAAAACAAGATCTGTTGGTGTTTTATGCTTACAGTCCTTCCTTCCCTATGAAATCAGGGCCAGGATCAGCCAGAGAAACATACCCAATGCCATACTACACAAGGGAAAGTACATCTAATGATCTCAAATCTGGATACCTTTGAACTAATGTTTTCTGGTTCCCCAGTGCTACTGAATCAAACCCAAGATCTTCTGCATTTGTGGAGATGATATTCAATTTATATAGAATTATGGAAATACACAGTTTGCTAAACACACACACATTAAATATTATAATCCTAAGACCACCTTTCAGGGATTGATTAGTCCCACCAAATGTTAAACTGTGTTACAAAGCAATAATAATTCAAATAGTGTGGTACAAGTGGGTGAATAGTCAGACAACTCAACGGAACAAAATGGAAAGCCAAAAAACAGATCGAAATACATGTGGAAATTTAGATATGATAAAAGCACTATTTCAAATCAGTGTGTGGGGCAGGAGCGAGATAGATTATGTAATAAAGTATTACACTACCTAGGTATCCAGCTGGGGAAAAGTAAACTTGATACTTACCTTACTCTTTACATCAAAATTTCAAATAGACCAAAGATGAAACTACAAAACATGGAACCATTAATGTATTAATAAGAACCATTGGACAAATTTTAAAATAATTTTAGAGTTGTAAGACCCTTCTAATAGGATAGGAAACCCAGATATTAAAAAAAGAAAACAAAAAAAATCTTCATGACAAAAACTGCCATATATTAGGCGAGACAAAAGAGAAACTGGTGGAGGGGGTGGAATATCACAACACATATTGCAGACAAGAGTTGAATTTATTTAGTATTTAAAGAACTCATACAGATCACTAAGAAAAAGAATAAACAACCCCACTGAAATAACAGTTTGAAGAAAAGGAAATACAAGTGGCTGTCCAACCTCACTCAGAACAAGAGAGATGCAAATTAAAATTACACTGGAGCTACTTCTCACTTAACAGATTGGCAAAGACCAAAAAAATTATAACATGGCCCATTGATGACAGCATGAAAAAATAATGATGGACTGCTAGTGGGAGAGTTGATTGTTACAGCCTCCAGAGAGAAGTGTGATAACATCTAATAAAGGAAAGCATGCACCTGTTGACCTGGACATTTCACATCCATTTATTTATAAGGCTGTTATTGCAGCAATACGTATATATAGCAAGAGCTGGGAAACCTAACTGTCCACCAGAGTACAGCCATACAATGGCTTTTTATAGCTATAAGAAAAGAATAAACACTTTTTAAACATATGGATAATGGAACAATCTTTGAGACAAGTTAGGTAAACAATCAGGGAGGACGACAGTGTTTATAATATCCCACCATTTGCTTAAAAAATGGAGGGAATATATGGGCGTATTTGTTTGTATATGCATAGACTATCTCAGAAAAGATAACAAGAAATAATAGATAATGATAGTCACTTCTAAAAGGACAGGGGGACTGGAGGAAGAAGCTTTTCACCAAATGTACCCTTTTGTACCTTGTGAACTTATAACCTATGGCTTATTAAAAATTAAATTAAGTTTTTGAGCAAAAAGATCCAGATGACTTTGAAACACCTTACTGGTTTAATTTTATTAATCATTGCAATACCACAAAACAAAGCTATTTCTCAAACCAGCATGGAGACATTCTTAAACATGTGTTGCCACATAAGCAAAGCCATTATTATGAACTTCATCACTGTAATCAACATTGTAATGATTACTTCATCATTGTAATCAACACCAAAGGACCATGGAGCAGTACCTGGTTTTTAGGAACTTTCAGTCTGAAATAGACATAGATATAAACCAGAGAGAGAAAACAGGATGAAAATACCAGAAGACCCAGTACAGAGCAGATCTGAAGTTCAGGGATGAAAAAGCACTCATCAGTTGCAACACCACTGAGAAGGGCCCTCTTCCTACCCCTGGCAAATCACAAGTCAGAAGATAACACCATCTTCCATGGCATGCTATGAAGCTGGGAAGCTGCTCCATGATTTGACCTTTGGTCCGAATTTAAGTGGAGTCACTGCACTGGCTACCTGGTTATCCCTGTGCTGATTACTCTAGAAAGGAGCCTGTTATGAATTAGAGTGGGAGAGGGGCAGCTGGGTGACTCAGTCGGTTAAGCTTCTGACTCTTGACGTTAGCTCAGGTCACAGTCTCAGAGTTCATGAGTTTAAGCCCCACGTGGGAATCTGTGCTGACAGCTCAGAGCCTACTTGGGATTCTCCCTCTCTCTGCCCCTCCCCTGCTCGCTCGATCTCTCTCTCTCTCTCTCTCTCTCTCTCTCTCTGTCTCAAAAAAAAAAAAAAAAAAAAAAAAAAAAAAAAGCATTAAAAAATAATCAGAGCAGGAGAAAGAACTCTTTCTCTTGTTCCCCTCCACTAGTCTTAAAATCACAGATTCTGGAAGGTAGGCAAGTAAAAGGTCACAAATCCATTCCTACTGCAAATCATCCCCCACTTTCCTGAAAGGGCTCATGCAGTGCCACATAGATATTTCCATTTCCAGTCATAAGGAGCTTGCTGCCTCCTCCCATGTCCCTACCCCAAACTTCACCAAAATGGAAGCACATATTTGTATTTGTTTTATCCAATAATAATGATTGTTCCTTTTTCTCGATTTTAAAAGGTGAAATAAACACACTATCTTTCCAAAAAAGAAAGGAAAGATGGAAAGGAAAGACGGAAAGGAAAGGAAAGGAAAGGAAAGGAAAGGAAAGGAAAGGAAAGGAAAGGAAAGGAAAGGAAAGGAAAGGAAAAAAGTTTGCTGCTAATATGTAAGTTCTATTGATTTTCCCCCCATGGGTCAGTGATTCTTACCTATAGCAGGCAGTGTTGACATTCCAGACCAGATAATTCTTTCTCATGAGGCTGTCCTGTATATTGGAGGATCTGTGGCATTCAATAGTAGATACCAATAGTACTACTACTGCCATGTGAGAACTAAAATGTCTCCAGACATTGCCAACTATCCCCTGGGGGACAAAATCCACTGCCTTCCAGGATGGGCCTTCACTATAACAGTATGATAAAACTTGGATTAGAGCAC